TAATTTCATTTGAGATTACATTAAATGTACAGGTTAATGGGAAGAATTATCTGCTACATGATATCAAACATCCAGTCCAAAGAATGCCTCTCCATGTATTCAGATCATTCTCTGTGTCCCTTATTGGGTTTAAACGTTTTTACAAGGAGAACTTCTCAATTAAAATACTGCATGGTTTTGGTACAACTCCAAATGGTATCTAATTTTCAAAACATATTTTGCAGTTGGTTATTGCTGATATTAAAGAAACGCTATTGCTTTTTTTTTTAAATGCCTGATCTTGTATCCATCCACTCTGCGAATTCTTTTTAATTTTTTTATTTTCTAATAGATTATCTGTTGATTCTGTTGGTATTTATTTGTGGGATAATCATACCATCTACAATGATAGTTTTATCTCTTCCTTTCCAATGTTTAAACCTCTTTTCTCCCCTACTCAATGTTGTTTGAGACTTCTAATTCCATGTTTGAAATAGTAGTGTATGTGTGTGTGTGTGTGTGTGGGGGGGGGGGGGGTGGTGGGTGTGATTTGGGGGGGATTCTTTTTTTTAATTTTATTTATTTATTTATTTATTTATTTATTTATTTATTTAGAGACAGACTCTCGCTCTGTCGCCCAGGCTGGAGTGCGGTGCCGCCATCTCGAATCACTGCGAGCTCCGCCTCCTGGGTTCTCGCCATTCTCCTGCCTCAGCCTCCCAAGTAGCTGGGACCACAGGCGCCTGCCACCACGCGCAGCTAATTTTATGTATTTTTAGTAGAAATGGGGTTTCACCGTGTTAGCCAAGATGGTCTTGATCTCCTGACCTCATGATTCGCCCACCTAGGCCTCCCAAAGTGCTGGGATTACAGGCGTGAGCCACCGCCCCCGGCCAGGGAAGGAGGGGGATTCTTTACCTTGTTCCTGATCTTAAAGAAAATGCATCAAAGTTTCTCTATGAAGTGTTGTTTGCTGCTAATTTTTGGTGTATAACTTTTACCAATTTGAAATATCAACTTAATTTGTAAAGAGTTGTTTTAAAAGTTATAAATAGTTGATGAAATTTATCAGATGCCTTTTCTGCACCTATTGAAATAATTAGATGATTTTGCTCTTTTAATCGATTGGTGTGGTAGATGACATTAACAGATTTTAAAAATGAACTATCTTTCATATTTCTTGAGGGAGGAAGTCTTCTTGATCATGATATATTATTATTGTTTTATTACTCTTTGGATTTGATTGGCAAGTATTCTACCCAGGATGATCACATTCATACTCAAAACTAAAAGTGAGAGAAAAATCTTGTTTGTATAGTTTGTAAATGGTTTCAGAATGAAGATTACACTAGTCTCATAAAATGGATTGGGTAGCATTTTCTCTGTTTCTATTTTCTGGGCAATCTTTAAAGTGAGTATTAACTCTGTTTTGGTAACATTCACCTGTAGAGGCTTCTTGGTGGTTCTAGATTACCATTTATGTTCATTTAACATTCTTGTTTTATTATATTTATCACAAATACATTTATAAGAAAAACATATTAATAAGAAGAATATGGTCCTTGGAAATTTTTATGATCATTTGGCATGCTGGCTACTAGTGAATTGTCCTGTTTCTTTTCTTGGCCATCCATTGAGGCATTTTTTGGGGTACATTTAGCACCATTTTGTAATTTTTTAAAACGTAAAAACAACTCTAAGAAGTAGTCCTCTTTGATAAACCTTTGAAGTAAATAATTTCACTGATGACCACACATGTTTTAGTAGCAATGATGTGTTAGTATGAGGTGAATGGTGAGATTTGTCACTTGGATTCCAGTGAGGGAACTGACCCATGAGACAAAGCTCAAACTCTGATGAGCCCTTACTCTTTGAATAAGTGTGTTTCAGCATGTATCTATCTAACAACCAAATATAGATGATTCAGTAAACAATAACATGAAGACTGAAATGCTAAGCTACTTAGTTGGTTGAACGTTTTTGTATTTCCTCCTTGCCTCAGCTGCCATTCTGGAAGCTCATGGCTAGGTTTAATGCCGACAGCAGTGACCATCTTTTCCCAAGTTCTAGGTTCTTCTCTTATGTACCTACTTCAGACCATACTCTGACTCTATGTTGTTAAGTGCTCTAAAATCTTTGAGACTATCTAAATCTCAAGTACCTGATTGAAGCATTTGATTTTGCCAGCTCATCATCTTCAACATGCGGATAAAGACAGCCATCAGCTAGGTTGTTTTCAGGATTAAATGAGATTGTGAATGAAATGAGAACCCTTAAAGCTGAGAGGCAGGTGCAGGGTAGCCTGCTGGGACTCACTCATTTCCTAAATGACTCACTTCTACACAACAGCCTCAGAGGGAGCACAGATTTCTGTTTCAGTTAAATTATAAATGAGTACATCATGGACTTTTGGAGTCACTGATGAGGAGTCAAAACTGTAATACCAAGTGTCTACAGTCTGTGTTCTTTGGGGGAAGTAGGAGTGGTGTAAATGATGACCAACACATGCTGGGTGAGTTCCGTGGAAATAGGGTGCTCTACACAGGCCCCAGCTTGTAGTCATGTCAGCTCTCACTCCCGGATGCTCTTGGCTTTTTCCTGGTCTGGTTTTATTTACCTCCCCCTACTCCCCACCTAAAGCTGATGCAGAGGGAAGGTTTGTTGGCCCAGTTCCTCCACTATTTTAACAGTTTGAAGCTTGGCAGCTCTGGCTGGAAGGACTCAGTGACACTCCTGCAAATGATTGAAGGACTGGGCTACGTGGTGTCCCTGGGACTGAGGGAACCAAGGCTCCCTCCTGGGAGTGATGCTCAGAGATTCAGCCCAGTCTGATGATACTGTGACTCGTTATGATGTACACAATGAAGGCAGGGCCTCCCAGGGAGACCCAGCGAGATGGAGGCAGGGAGGGACAAAGAGAAGTGAGAGAGGAAAATAAGATAACAAAGAGACATACCTGGAACTAGTAACACACAGAGAATTTTTTTAGTGTTTACACTCTCCATTGGGTTTTTGTTTTCTAAATGCTTGCTTCTTGATAATTCTTCAAGCCAATTCCCCATGGGACTCTTTTGGAGTCCTTTTTCTTTATTGAAAAGCATTCTGTGGATTAAATAAAAAGATACTACTTGCCAACATGCAACTAGTTTTTTGGAAAATATACAGTTCAGGAATGCAGTATTTGCTTTCAGTATTTTAAATAAAATCTTTCTTTTTCCACCATACTCTCCTCCATCTTTCTTTCTCTACTCTTTTCCACCCCCTCTCATACCCTCCTGCCCCAGCACACCCACTCCTTGCACACGTATGTGTGGTCATGAATAAAACACATTGATGAGCTTCAGTACAGAGTGCCAAGAAGTGCCATTTGCCACTTGGAAATGCCAGGAGCCAGAGGAATGTCTGTAATATAAGAAGCTTATTTTTAAAAGGACTCCTTTTCTCTTTCCTTCTCTGGACTTTCTTTACCCTACACGCGTGTGTGTGTGTGTGTGTGTGTGTGTGTGTGTGTCTGCGGGCAGGGTGAGTGCTGTCCACTGCCATAGGCAGGGAAGAGAGCTTTTCTTCATTGTAAATGAAAGTGCTTTATTCTTGTAGGTGCCCCTTGCTGCTGTGGGACATTCCGGTTTGGATGAGTCAAGCAGAACAGTGGGTCACTCTGGCCAACACGTTTTACTAAGTGTCCTTGGTTAGGGAGGTTGAAGCCCAGGAAAAGCTAGTCAACAGGTGGTTGTTTTGTTGGGGTGGCGTTTTTCCAGTTCTCCAAGGTGCCCACAGTTGCTGGTTCTGGAAGAGGATGTGGAATGACGGGGGCTGGGGGAAGTGGGAAGAGGAGACAGAGGCCATGAGGGCTGTCACATATGTGAAACAGCTGAGCCAAGCAGGGTCAAGCGGTTCCAAGGGCATTGCTGTGAGCTTAGGGCACTGGGTGGAATCTCTCTGACCAGTGGTTCTTCTCCACAAAGCCCACAAAGGCAGGAAACGTGCACATTATTTAGAGGGTGCCACTGGTCAGAATTTGATTGCCCTCTAAGGGCTGTCAAACGCCACTGAAACCTGTTCCTTCAGGCACTTCCTGAGTAGCTGAGGTTTTGTGTGTGATGACTGAAGGGATATTTTTAAAAGCCATTGTGATGTTGCTGCTGGTCTATTTCAATGAGAACTGAAAAAGGAGGCATGGGTCTTTAGCTTTATTCTAAAAAGCAAGCTCAGGTAATCTGCCCACATTACCTTCACTGCATGCCTCCTTGGCAAGCAGTCCCAGAGAGGCAGGTAAAAATTTGAGATTGGAGGAAGTCTGGGGATGGAGTGGGATCTGTGGTGCATTGAGGTTCAGAGAGAGGTAATGTGGCCATTTATGTAACTTGATAATAAGGAAAAGTTGAAAAGTTAGTGGTTTGTTCTTAAAAAGACATGAAATGGGTGTAAATGTCCAAATCACTGGGGTCAAAACAGCTGTGCCAAAATGGTCACAATAAAATTTTAGATACTCGGGCTAGTATGAGCAAAGAGAGAAGTAAAGAAATTTTAAACAGCAACATTAAAGATACATGAAGTTTTTTATTTTCTCATGTAGATTTTTTTTCCCCTCTTTGAATTACGAGAAACAGAAATGATTCTGTCTTTTGGACTAACTGGAAGAAAAGCCTGTTGTGATGGTTAACATGTTAACGTGACTGGGCTACAGAGTGCACCGAAGTTTGATCAAGTGTTATTCTGGGTGTTTCTGAGAGGGATGAGATGAATGTTTAAATTGGTGGACTGAGTAATGCAGATTGCCCTCACAATGTGTGTGGGCCTCATCCAGTAAGCTGAAGGCCCAAATAGATAAAAAATGTTGACCCTCCCCTAAGTAAGAGAGAATTCGTCCTGCTTGACTAATGTTGGGCTGGAATTACATCATTGGATCTCCTGGGTCTTCAGCTTTCTGCAGATTTTGGGACTTGTCAGCTTCCGTAGTCACATGAGCCAATTCCCTGCAATACATCTGTTTCTGTTTTACTCTCTCTCCATATGTGTGTGTTTGTGTATACACATATATGTGAATATGTACTTATATATTTATATATATTGGTTCTGTTTCTATCTGTGGAAGAATTTAAGTTTTTTGTGAAGAAACTATTAGATTGGTGCAAAAGTAATTGTAACTGCAACAACGCAATTACTTTTGCACAAACCTAATACCTGGGTGTGGTCCGATGAGTCAAACTGTGGAATGTCAGGAAGTTTGGATGTGAGTACTTCGGCTTCTGTATCTTGGAAATGTGCTTCATAAGTGTAATTCCTATTTATAATACTTTTTTTCTATTAAGAGAACAATAATTCCTGATATTTCAGTTGAAAACTCTTAAGTATTTGAGACCCACTTACTGGCCTTCTATGAAGAAAGAACTGAAAATTATTTTGGGGTGGATGAAAATGCAGCTATTCTTAGTTTCCCCAGGGAAAAATTCAAGAGGAAATGGGTTTACATAGCAGTAGGGGGGATTTATGTGGGGCGTAAAGGAGCGTGTTCAGAACAAGATTCTGTCAAGGATGTGCATGGATCATGTTTCCTTGGCATAGAGAATGGTCAGAGCAGGGACCACATGGGGTCTTGGATGACATAGTGTCTAAGGTGACCCCACTGACCCTTCCCCCAGCTCTCCCTGTCTGTAGGGATTTAGGGGGACACTGAATGGTGATTCAGTGAATGGTGAGTTAGGGTAAAACTCAGCCTTGTTTTTGAAAGAGACATCAGGCGAAGGAATGGCCAGATGTACAGCAAGGATGGTAAGATCTGATTCACAGCAGGCTGTCAAACTTCATCTCCCATAATGACCCATGTTCTCTCCTTACATATTTTTATTGTTTTAAATTTGGATAGCACTGAGAGTTGGAAATTGGGGGTAGGGCAGGGGACTACTATTTTACATTATAAGCTTTAAAAATTTAAACCTTGTACATATATAGCTTTGGGAAAAATAAAAAAACATAAAAATAAAAAAATCTCTGTGGCTTACTTTTTGTTACAAATAATACATGCTAGTTGGGCAAAATTTAGAAAATTCAGAGAGGCTTTCCTTCAAAAATTCATTGTCTAGGAATATTTACTGTTGGACCTTTGGTCTAGACTCTTCCATATTTTTCTTAGCATATACATGCATGTGTTTTTCTTAAAAACAAAAATGGATCATGTTAGTTTGCTTTTGTGAGTTAACAATATGTCTTTAGAATAAACTCTAGAGCGTCAAAGGGTATATATTTGATGCTGTATGAGGTAGGGCACTTTTGTTTGCAAATGATGTAATTTCAGTGTTAAGTGCTGTAGGTAAAAAGGGATACAGAATATAGGAACTGGGCCTTGGGAAGAACCACGTCCAGGACTGAAATACCTCCGGGGCTCTGTATCTGTTCTCTCTTTGGTTTCTTTTTATGTAATTGGTTCATTCTTCTCTCTTACTGAGCACTATCAAGAAATACTGGGAATAGTTTTGAAGCACCACATCTTTCTATTTAGCTTTCCAAGGAAATACAGCTTTAATTTTTACAGACCAATAATCCAAACTCCCATGGAGTTTGGATTATTCTCACTTTCCCTAGTGAGAAAGGGCTCACTAGGATGCCTTAAGTTAGGGAAAGGTGCATGGTTGTAAGGGTTCTTGTGGAAACATGGTGAATGAAGGGAGGGAGAGGTAATTTTTAGAATAGCCAAGGGGGCTGGGCGCAGTGGCTCACGCCTGTAATCCCATCACTTTGGGAGGGCAAGGCCGGTAGATCACGAGGTCAAGAGATTGAGACCATCCTGGCCAACATGGTGAAACCCAATCTCTACTAAAAATACAAAAATTAGCTGGGCGTGGTGGTGGGTGCCTGTAGTCCCACCTATTTGGGAGGCCAAGCCAGGAGAATGACTTGAACCCTGGAGGCGGAGGTTGCAGTGAACTGAGATTGCACCACTGCACTCCAGCCTGGCGACAGAGCAAGACTCCATCTCAAAAAAAAAAAAAAAAAAAAAAAGAATAGCCAAGGAAGGGAGACTGAGCTGTTAACAGAGAAAGAGAAGATGATTCTGGGCAGAGAAGATAATAGCCTCCTTGATGCATATGTATTGATAAATGATGCTTTGAAGAGTATAGACCTATATTCACTCCCAGCTATGTATGAGCTGCCTGTTTTCTAACAGCCTTGCCAGCCCTGGAAATTACCATCAGAAAGAAACTCTTTGATGGACTCTACTAATGGGATTTCCTTGTTTGTCTGGATTCCTGCCAGTTAGATAGCCCCGCACTATTTTGCGTCAACTCTGTCAACTCCTTCCGGGGAAGAGCTCCTTCAGCATGCCTGTGCTATCATTTTTTTCCTCCTAACACTCACCAGATGTGGAGGTGAGGTCCATTCTGATGGCGACCAAGAGTCGTCATGTTTGACTGGTGTGAGGTCATGGGCCGCTACTTACTGGCACAGGACTAATGATGATACAGGAACACACATAAAGGGACACAGCAGCAATCACAAAACCACATGCCCCACTGGGTGGCCTAACCTAGATTTCTGCCGTGAAGAGGGGCGGTGGCAGGATGAGCAACCGCAGCCCGTGGGCAGCAGTCCCCATTCTCTGATTCCTCTTGATTTCTTACTGAAATGGAGAGTTTGGGTTTGTGGAACCTTTGAATATGGATATCAAGGTCATTCAAACTTACCAGAAAACATGTTTTCTTAAAGGTTCTGTCTGTTTTTATAGTGGTGAGTGGCAACAGGAGTACATTTGCTCCCCTCCTGGTTTAAGGAAAATCAGACAGAAATGTGAATGGAAGTTGAATTCTCCAAGAGTAAATAAGAGGGGACAGTATGATATTTTGACTTTAGAGGCAGGCTATGACTAGAACTCCTTCCATCCTGTGGCCCTCAAAGATGTGTTGTGCGAAGACCCTTGAGGTCAAGGAGGTGGGTAGAAAGTTGGATGACAATGTTCACTCGTGTTCTCCAGCCCTTGCCAGAAGTGTGCTAGCTTGCTCCCCTCCCCTTCCCTCCCCTCCTCTCCTTTTCCTTTTCTTTATTCCTTTCTGTCTGCTTCCTTCCTTTCCTTTATCTTCTTCCCTCCCTCCCTCCCTCCCTCCCTCCCTCCCTCCTTCCTTCCTTCCTTCCTTCCTTCCTTCCTTCCTTCCTTCCTTCCTTCCTTCCTTCCTTCCTTCCATCCTTCCTTCTTTCCATCCCTCCCTCCCTCTTCCTTCCTTCCTTTTTTTAATCTTTTGTTTTTGAGATAGGGTCTCACTCTGTCACCCAGGCTGGAGTGAACTGGTGCCATTGCAGCTCACTGCAGCCTCAATCAAACTCCTGGGCTCAAGCGATCCTCCCACCTCAGTGTCCCCATCCCTGTGCCCGGCTCATTTTTGGTATTTTTTGTAGAGATGGGGTTTTGCTCAGGCTGGTCTTGAACTCCTGAGCTCAAGTGATCTGCCAGCCTTGGCCTCCCAAAGTGCTGGGATTTATAGACATGAACCCTCATGCCTGGCCTGGCTGGCTTCTTTCTAACAGAGAAGAAGACATTATTTAGTCTTAGCCTTATATGGTCTTGTCCAGTTTTATCAGGCGTTTTAGCCATAAAATCCCAAATATGAAAGTGACCCTTTCTTTACACTCCTTTTACCTGTACCTAGCATTGTTTATCTAATCTTTACCTACATGACCTCTGCCCTTCCGGACAGAAAAGATCCCTCCTATTAAGGACGGCTGGTATTTAGTCATATCATTTTTGTTTTCTGTTCTGCCAGGTGACTTCTGGGTGACAGCTCTGCGATTGCGCTTCAAGATCACCCTGCTTCTACTCCCAGAGGCATACGCCTGGTTGGCAGGGAAGTTCCATCTCACCACAGAACTGGGAAGCAGAGAGAAGCCTGTCGCCATCCTTCCCCTGACATCTTATTACTGCTTTGAACAAGTGTGCTGCATTGAAAGAGATAAGCAGAAATAGTTGAACCAAAAATTACATGATCCCATAGTTTGTGCTTAAAATAAACAAATAAGCTGATCTTTTAGTGAACAAGTTTTTATTGAATGCCAACTTAATTTCAGGAACATTTCAGGTACATTGTCAAAAATAAAGACTCTTCTTAAGAATGTATTATTATGTACCCAATACTGGTTTCAGGCTTTTACATGTATTCATTTTATTCTCATAAAAAACTCTATGAAGTAGATATTATTATCAATATTCTACTCTACAGATGAGGAAACCCAGACTCAGAGAGGTCAAGCAACTTGCTCAAGTGGCACAGCTGGAGAGAGGGGAGCTGGGGCTTGAGCCGAGGTAGCGTGTCCCCAACACCTAAAGCTAAACTCCATTCTGTGCTGCCCTTTGGAACACCCACTCCATGGCCTTCACACTCCACGTCCTACTCGGGAGGGCATGTGATCTCAACAGCACTCACAAATGAAGGCTTTCCAGACAGGATATTGAAGATGGTAAGATCAGTCTCATGTATAAAGCATGTTTAAAAAGTAAAGCATATTATATACTAGTCATATATACTAGGATGAATGTATATATGCTACATGCTAGTAGAATTAATAGTAGTTGGAGTATAAAAGTACCCTATAGGCCAGGCATGGTGGCTCACACTTGTAATCCCAGCACTTTGGGAGGCCAAGGTAGGTGGATCATTTGAGGTCAGGAGTTCAAGAACAGCCTGACCAACATGGTGAAACCCTGTCTCTACTAAAAATACAAAACTTAGTTGGGTGGTAGTGGTGTGCGCCTGTAATCCCAGCTTACTTGGGAGGCTGAGGCAGGAGAACTGCTTGAGCCTGGGAGGCAGAGGTTGCAGTGAGTCAAGATAGTGCCACTGCACTTCTATCTGGGCAACAGAGTGAGACCCTGTCTCAAAAAAATAAACAAAAACAAAAACAAAACAACAACAAAAACAAAACCCTACAGCGAACCTTTATTTATTTTTTGAGTTCTACTCCTATTTTTTGTTTTTTTAAATTTGGCTCTTCTCTTCCACATACGAGTGCCTGTGGACACAGCATTGTCCTTGTGCTGTCACTATTTACAACAGTAAAACAACAGCTACCATTTCTTGAGGGCTTATATTTGGTTCTTTATTAACACTGTCTGTTTTAAACCTTACAGTAACTGAGGTTGGTATCATTGTCCCCATTTTACAGATGAGTAAACTAAGGCTTGTGCAATGTTAACTGAGTTGCAGAGAGGATATATCACAGCTAATAAATTAGAGGGTCAGCATTCAAACCCAGGTCTTCCTGAATGCAAAGATTTGTGCAAGTAAACTCTGTGTTCTCCTCTGAGGTCGCTGTGGTGGGCTCTAGGCACTTATGCTACCCCATTTGTGTCAGAATACAGCATGTGAACACACATGTCTATAGAATTTAAAACCCAAATGTTTACTTATTACTATGTAAGTTCCAGACACACACCATAAAAGACACACATCTTAAAAGATAAATTGGAAGGACAGGTCAGAATTCTCCCTAAGTAAAAGGTAGCAATTATGAGAACTTAGCTCATTGCAGCCTCCATCTCCTGGGCTTAAGTCATTTTCCTGCCTCAGCCTCCCAAGTAGCTAGGACTGTAGGTGTGCACTACCACATCCAGCTAATTAAAACAAAAAAATTTTTTTTTTTGGGTAGAAACAGCATCTTGCTATGTTGACCAGGCTGATCTGGAACTCCTGGCCTCAAGCGATCCCCTGTCTCAGCCACCCCAAATGCCAGGGTTTTAGGCATGAGCCACTGTGCCTGGTGTGACAGGTACGATTATCCCCATTCTACAGATCAGGGAACTGAGAAGTGATTGCTTAGTGAATAGATTTCTTGGGCTGAATAGATCAATAGAGACTTGCTGATACATAATGTGCTAGGCATATTTGGTGGGATAGGTAAGAAGAAGTAGGCCTTGAAACTAGCCATGCTATGACTTGCAATTCAATTGGATCACGCCATATTTACATGTCTAATTTCTTTCCTTAGACTGTTAGCCCCTAGTGAGCAGGAGCCCTGTCTTCTATGTCTCATGCTCTTCCCCCAGCTGACTTAGGGTTGGTACAGTCTCCATCCTCAAACTCTTTCCTGACTGTGTGTGTGTCTAAAGCATGTGAGTGGCTGTAGCTGCGAGTGCAAAGGCATGGAACAATGTGTGTTGAGCATTAAAATCTTGCTCACTTTTGACTCCAGGACTCCTTTTCTCTTCCTTTCTATGGGCATGAAAGTATGGTGAGAAAACTAGAATTGTCTTCTCAAGGCAAGTTTTAGTAGGTAATTTCAGTCGCAGTTGAATCTCTTCTGTTTCTCCAAGGACTGGGCATTGCCAGCCCTGCTGTAGCTGGTTGAAGGGGACCAAACCTCTCAGGAAGACGGACTTGGTTCCGTTTGACCAGCCAGAGCAGGGGGCATCTTTCTTCTGAGGTGACTGCAGCCTCTAGTGTGCAGGTGCCTTGGTGTGTCTCAAGCATCAGTTGTCTAAACCTGTAATGCAAAAAGAAGCAGTATTAGCATCTATCAAATGCCAAGAACTTGCCTTGTCCAGAATGTCCTCTCACATGATTTGTATATACATCTCATACGATTTGTACATACAAATCATACATAATTTATATTTTGCATTGCATGACTTCAATTTATTTTTTTCTTTAATCTTCATTCTTTTTTTCAAATAGAAACATCATGAAGAACAAATACGATATAGAATTATAGAAAATGGAAAATGACAGTATGCTGTAATGCTTCCTCTTCCCATTTTCCAAAAGAAATGTAACATTTTGGCATATATTCTCTGAATGCTTAACATTTTAATTTCTTTAAATTTTATTTTTATTTCAAATATGATATAGTTATACAAGAATATTTATAATATGTAAGTGATGGTACATAGTGGTAAAACCAAAACCCATGAACAATGATCTACTTTTTTTTGTTGTTATTTTTTGAGATGGAGTCTCGCTGTGTCACCCAGGCTGGAGTGCAGTGGCGCGATCTCAGCTTACTGCAAACTCTGCCTCCTGTTTCAAATGATTCTCCTGCCTCAGCCTCCTGAGTAGCTGAAATTACAGACACCTGCCACCACGCCCGGCTATTTTTGTATTTTTAGTAGAAATGGGGTTTTGCCATGTTGGCCAGGCTGGTCTCAAACTCCTGATCTCAGGTGATCCACCCATCTCGGCCTCTCAAAGTGCTAGGATTTCAGCCATGAGCCACCGTGCCTGGTCCAACAATCTACCTTTTAAAAAGAACTATTTTTTACTGTTTTATACTACTGCTTTCTTTGTACTGAATGCTTTTTCCAATTTATTTCCTTACGTTTCCCCCCAGAGGTAACAATCACACTGAATTTATTTTTTCTTATAATTTAAATATTTTTCTTTATATTTTTTACCATTTATGCATATATTTCTAAACAATATATATGCATATTTTAGTGTATAATGGCATTGTATCATAGGTATTGTTTTGTGACTTGATATTTTCATTTAAAATGATATTTGCAAGATTCATCCATATTGATGTGGTAGCAGCAGTTTATTAATTTTCATTGCTTTATGGTTTTCTACTGTGTGAATATACTATAATTTATTTATTCTCCCAGCCATAGACATTGAGGTTGTTTGGTTTAACAAGAGGGTAGCATTGACTAAACTGTTTCTCAAAGGAGGTGGGGAAATCTTTGATTCCTGCAGATTTTAAAGGAGACCTCTGGATTTGTGTGTTGGCCTTGTAAAAGAATGGCAACACTTACTAGCCCAAAACATCTGGAAGTAGGGCTCAGAAATTAGTGCTATAACCTGCCCTTTGGGTGATTCTGATGCAGCTCAAGTTTGAGAACCACTGAACTAACAGGAGACCCACTGGTTTCTCTCTGTTTCTAGGGAGGTGTGAGCTGGGGGAGAGAGCTGACTAAGAAGAAGACACTTCCCAGAAAGGTGGCCTGCCAGTCTTCACAATGTATGGGAGCAGGTGGGAAAAGAGGTAGGCAGAAGGATAGTTCGAATGATGCTAGAAAATTGTCCTCCCTTGGGGCTAGGCATTGCAGCCCTTTTATTTTCTCTTCCTGACGAAGACAAGTAAAATTAAGTGGCATGCCTGTAGCCTTGGAGTCACACTTATCTGGGTTCAAATCCTAACAATGCTTTCCTGGCTCTTTTGCTTCTAGGAAGTTACAGAACATCTTTTAACCTGAGTTTCTACATCTGTACAGCAGGAGAAAGTTGTATCTACTCTGCCTACTTGTTGCAAGGCTTAATGACAAGGAAGGAAAGGTGCACTGCATCCCTAGTGGGCACCATGGACAGTGTCAGGGGTGTGGGAAAGTCCTAGAGACAATCCTGACTGCTTTGGAGGCCAAGAATTTCACTCTCAACTCCAGCCTGTCCTTTACATGTTTCCCTTCCTCAGCTGCAGGTGTTTGCATTTCATCACTGAAATTGTTGAAACTGCTGATCAGGAAACACAGAACTAGTTTAACCAGCCAAGTCAACTTCTGCAAGATGGACTCCAGCTTGGGAGCCCTGTATGGAGTAAATAAGATATTCCAGACATCAAAGCACTCGATAAGGCACTGTAGAAATGACAACGAGGTAAAAGCCCACAGTGATGGTGGTGGTGAGAAAGCAGGGCACCACAGAACATGGCTTGGTTCTAGAGTGGTCTGTGCAGGGTTATGCTGAAGCTTCTCTCTTGGCTTGTCCTCTCCTCCTTGGTGTGTGTCCTCCCGGCCCCAGAGTCCTGGCATCTTACCTTCTTCCTCCTCCTGCCAGTGACATAGCTGTCTTGAAGCTGCTGCCTGCCAGCTCGTCCACTGGCTAACCTCTGCTCCTTCTCTAGCTCCTCCTGGGGAGCAAGGGAGCAGGCAGCTGTGGGGGCAGAGGGCAGCCCGATGGTCTGAAATCAGGACTGAAAAGCACATGTGTACAGCTTGCCAGCCAGAATAACAAACCTCTTTTTGTGCAGTTTCTTCAATTCTGGACACTTTCTCCCACCATCTCTCTCTTCTCTTCTTTACTCACATCCTGCCCCACCCCCAGCAGCACAGCCACCCATACAACATACCCCCAGTTTCTGAGCAGAGGACATGAAATTAATCTCCAGGGTAGGAAAAGGAAGTGTATATTTAGAACTGGTATGATTTAGGAAAGGGAAAATGTCATTGGAAAGAAGCACAACCTTGAGCTATCTGCCTGTTTTACGGACATGAAGACCAAAGTTTTTAGAATGAAGGACAGTCATTTTCATTGGAAAATATAATGTGCCATAATATGTCGATGTCAGAGACTTTATTTATTCACAGCGCCACTATCAAAAATGTCAGGTTTCTCAACCTTAGCATATTGACATTTTGGGCTGGATATTTCTCTGCTGCGTGTTGGAGGGTGGGGGGTGGCTGTTCGGTGCATCGTAGGATGTTCAGCAGCATCCCTGGTCCCCAACCCCTAGATGCCAGGAATCCCCAAGTTGTGGCAATTGAGAATGTCTCTAGACATTGCCAAATGCCCCTGGGGAATGACATCGTCTCCAACTGAAGGACCACTAATCTAAAGTGAGAAGTCTCTGTGCTCAGTTCTGTAGCTGTCCCATCTCTGGTAATTTACCTTGTTCTTCCAAGTTCCTTCCACTCCCCCAAAAGTACAGGTTTTATGTCCTTAAAGGCCATTAGATAACTGTCTGGTTTCTGGAAGAGGTGGGAGGCTTGTGTCACAGGTGTTACTGAGCCCAATTGGGGCAGTGGGGAGCCTTGGCCCAGTGCTGTGGCTGCTGTCGCTTCTGAGGGCAGGGGGCCCCTCATTGCCAGCTGCTCTGCACTCCTCTGCCATCTCCTGTGCAAACGTGGTGCATCCTTCCTTCTTCCCTCCCTTTCCTCCTCTCCCATGTCCTTGTTCTGCTGCTGCTCAGTTTCATTTGACAGCCCTATCTTGTGCATCTTGGCACACTTCGGTTTCCTTTTGTGGTTTTGCTTAAGAACTCACGGTGTAAACATAGTGTGGTCCCAGCTGTAATCTCTCACATGCACTCACCCTAAAAACAAGGAGTCAGAGCTATGGGATGCAGAAGCCATCCTGGAACGGGAGTTTAAGTGAGGGAGGGAGGCCCCTTCATCTTCCTCCCTTGTTCTGAAACTCTTCGTGGAGCGATGGCATGAGCCTTGGGTGACTGCAGCCTCCCCTCCTGCTCAAGGCTTCCCTCTGTAGATTCAGCACTTTCTTGGTGTGAGTTCAAGCCCTTTGAAGTCACAGCTGGGAACACAGGGGTTTAGGAAAGAGAGGAGAAAGGAACTTGCCCGTTAGTTGAGTTAATTGCTATTTTAGCATCTCAAGGCTGTTCCTCAAACAGCCTTGCAGAGTCCATTTGTGACAGGGTTGTGGTGTGAAGTGGAAAGGGCAGCAGAGCAGAGTCAGGGGACTGTGACCCAGGATGAGTTACTTATTATGGTTTCCTGAACCTCACTCACGGCACCTGCCTCAGTACAGTGCAAGCCCTGAGAAAGGCACACGATACACATGGCTTGAAAGAAATTATGATTCAGTTTGGTTCGTAGCAACCTCTCATTTCAGGAGCCATATGACCAGAGGAAGGAGCTGGGAGGGTGGGGGCTGACTCTGTTAAAAACCTTTGGGGGAAATGCCTTTCTTCACCAGGCTAGCCAGAGGAGCCAGGTCTGGGAGGCTGGCCACAGTGGGGACTGTGGGACAGCAGTCAGTGTACCTGAAACCTTGGGCTGAGCAAGCACACCTCAAGAAGGGAATAAAGGGGTGTTCAGGAGGAGCCCAGATGGGATTCAGAGGCTCTTGCTTCCTTGGTGAGGGATATATTTGCTGGCACAAAGCCCTGATGAGGAAGAAGGTCACCAAGCCTGTGCTCTGGGTGGTACCCTGGGGCCAGCGAGGAGTCACTTGCCGAAACCACACACTTCCTTACATTCCATAGCAAAGTAATCCATATGGGGATATAAAGAAGCATGTGGCCTCGGGAAGCAGTGTCATCCAGAAGCAGCCCGCATCTCAGACGTGGGCCACTTGTAGCATATTTCCTCCTTGCCTGGGTAGGAAACGCTTAGTGGGAAGGATCACCGGGATCTCAACTCATCCTAAATACCCCCCAACCAAACCATCCTGAAATAAATCTGTTGTGAGGAGTGGCAGTGCTGCTTGGGACCAAATCCTCCCTTACTGTTTGTTCACAGGTAAACAGCACTAAGTTTCCCTGGCTTATTCTGGTGTGGCTACAGTCTATCCAGTCCTTAGTTATTACTACTAATAATTCACTGCTGCTGTTTTTGTGCATTTTGATGTGATCCTTTTTAAATGTTTGGGATCCAGTGAAGGGAAAATTAAAATAAGAGAGAACCCAACAGAGAAATTTTCCACATTCACACAGAGAGCCACTCATGCTTAGAAACACACTGGCCCTCCTGTACTTCCTATTGTATGTCTGTCTGTCTTGGGTGCTTGTTGATGGGCAGCAGCTGCCCGTGCAGCATTCCAAGCACACATTGTTCATTGTGGGAAGGATCCTTTTGTTGGGCTTCTGCTCTCCCTAGCCCATCACCTGCCCCACAGTCTGTGAGGCCTGAGCCACGGAAGGGTGAGGGACATTGGCAGCTGTTGAGTCACTCGGGGTCCGGCGGCCACCCTGACTGGAGGGAGATGGGGTTTTGAACTTTGTGGTATCTGATTCTCTGCCAGAAAATGGGCAAACATATTCCAAAGGAAGAGTTGGCCCCCAAAAAAGGTTTGAGGCTCACAGCACTGGCTGGGGTGGTTAAAAATCTTTAATCACAGTAATAAAAATAAGAGGTAACTTTTTATAAGTATGCTTTCTATAACAGGATCATTTCAGTGTTTTGCATATGTGAGCTCCTTGAATCCTGCCTACTCTATGAAATGTAGTGATTTTTTCTGATTTTACAGATGAGAAAAATGAGGATAATAGAAATGAATTAATTATCGTATTTGGGAATGGCACTTCTTTTAAAAAAACTAATCAGATTGGAGGCACAGTTTTGGATCAACCCATGGAGAGAGGCTTAGAAGGTTAAAAAAAAAATGTTGAGAAGGAAGGAAAGGAAACACTATGGGTTTTTGACTTGGTGTACCTTTATCCTTTCTGCGACTTTGCACTTGGGGTGTTATTGATAGAGTTGGCTTAGAAACCATACTGTTTCTTAGGAAAATAGGAAAATGTCTCTGGCATCCAAGTCAAAATCTTTCGGGCTGACCTTGGGAATCATCCAATGGCTCATTTAATCCCATCCAATGGCTATATAAGCTTCTGCTCTGAAAACACTGTTTTCTCCCATAGTCAAGTATGAGCTTTATAGAAGTGAGAGGTTGGGGCTACCCTTCCTCCTCTAAGTTTGGGGGCAGTGGGCAACCAAAAACACAGTATCAGGGGCTGATGTCAGGGAGGTAGCTTGGTCAAAGAAGGAAGGAGGTGTGGCTGTGCCTCTAAGAAAATAAAAATGTCTCATTTCTTTCACAGAACCAGGGAACTTAAGAGCTGAGTAAATGTCCATTTTAACCAGTTACATCTGTCAGATGGAGATCCTCCAAAGTGTTGGCTTGTGAGGAGTGAGGGTTTGCACCGATGAGAAGAACCATTAGTTTTATGTTCAAAGAACTAGAAAGAGTCAGCTTTAAGAGACTTGCTATTCATGAGCCAGGCTGAACTTTATACATTCATGAAGGAATACAAAAGAAAAAGATTTCCAGGGAAAAGATTTGAGACAGCCAAGAGAGTGTAAATTGTCTCATTAGACTGTCCCCAGCATTTGAATGAATTGGTTTGTCTTTTGCCAAGCCCAACCTTGTAGGGTGAAAAGATTTCTTAAAAGTTCACTGCAAAATCTGCAGGAGAAAAACAAATGTTAATAACCAATTACTTGACAATTCATGAGTCCAGGTAACTAAATTCTTATCAATTTAGAATGAATAGAGAATTTTGAAAGTGAGAGAAAGTTCAAAATGGGAATATCTGTGATGAAAGCCTCGTCTAAACCTTCTTCCCATTTTCCTGGACATCTAGCTTAAGATACAAGAAAGAAAAGTCATGGAACAGGTTAGAAAATGGAGAGAAAGGTAGACTGGAAAAATAAACTATGACAAAACCAACATATTTCAGACCAGACAAAAATAGTAGGTAAAAAAATCTGGGACGGAGAACATAAAGACACATTTCTCTGTGCTTTGCATAGGGCAAAGGGCATGTATATGACAATTAGATGTGGGTTTTTTCTCCAGATTATTTATTTAGTTTCCTATCTACCCACATCTTTTGACTTTAGTAGGCACCGTTAATGGAAAGAATTAGGAGATGTGGTGTGTCACTTGGCCAATTGTGTGCAGGGTGCTATTGGCCAAATTACCAGCTTTTTGTCCTCATTCCTATACCAAATCCCATGCCGCTTATCTGTAAATAGCAGTTGTATAACCCCAGCTGCCCACCAAAGAATGGGTTGAAGATTAATGAGATAACACATGTGAATATCTTGAGTTTCTTAGGAGAACGGACCAATGGTGATATAAAATGTCACTCAACAGGTTATTGAAAACAAGATTTATTCCACACCCCAGCCCTGCCTCATAATCGGACAACTGCTCAAAACCCTTAAATTACTAACATATCCTTTCCCTTGTCCTGAGAAGCAAGTACCACTTAAAAGCGTTCCAGACTTAAGTAACAGTAAAAAAGTAGCCTGAAAAGCATAAACAGCAATCACGATTCTTTTTCAGTTTCTTTTGCTGAGTAGGGCAATATTTGAACATAAATGACTCAACACATTAAAGAGACAGAAAGATGCTTATTTCCCATTAATGGTCCTTAGAAAGTCTATTGGATTTGGGTAAAACCAAGGACAGGTTGAGACTGAGAGAAGTCTGAGTAAGACAAATGCAATGTTGCGATCTTCAAGGTTGTTGGCTCTGGAGGGGTGCAGGGAGAAACAGCCTGGCTTGGACATCTGTGACTTGAGCAAGCTACTTAACCTCTTTCAGCCTCAGCTTCCTCATCTGTAAAGTGAGACTGACGGTGCTTCCTCAACGGCAGGAATTAGATTTATGTAGTGTGCCATGAGCACAGTATTTGAAGTCTAATAAATCTCTATTACTATTATTAACATTATCTACTAATAATATACAATCAATATAATATTGATCTTATTAATAATTATATGTATATTATTAATTAATGTGTAATTAATATATGAATCAGCATTAATCTGGCAATGGAATCTACTTACTACATAGAAATCCTTACATTTTATCTACTTTAAAGGGTTTCATTAACATGACAATTGTGTTTATGTAAGGGGTTATTCAAAGATACTTGAGAATGCATAAATATTATCAAAAATATTCTTCCTACAATTTTGGTATGCTTTTAAAAAATATTTAAAAATATTTTCGTATGTGTTAAAAGGATTTGTTTT